TATAATTTTTAGTGAATTTTTGTGTTGTATTTAGTCCTTTACTAGTGACTTAACCTTGCTTTGCTCGGGGGCTTCCCTAGGTACGTACATATAGCGTGTTAAATTTTAATAGGTATTTTTGAGAGGAATGGTCTATTCCATTATACATTGTTTTCATATAACTTTATTGGTTAGCGCGGCGCACGCCAATAAAGCTCGCAGTCAGCATGATTTTTCCGATGTCTTCAACAATAATCGTCCTATGTCAGCCAATTTACACGAATCCCTAATAAAGTATACACCTAAACCTTTCTCATGAATCACTCCATCCATTGGTGAAAGCCGTATGAAAATCAATTCAGCAGTTTTTGAGTTTATCGCATTCATACAGACACTACTAATTACGTAACAGTTTATCTATCTTTAGGTACATATTAATAAAATTCTAACTGAGTCGAATCTGTACATTGAATATTTATTGGAAAATCCCACTGAAAAGTCATTATTATTAAAATTGAAAAAGTCATTATACATAAGCTGAACCTATATTTTTTAGAAATTTTGTCTGTCTGTCTGGGAACACATCACGAGAAAATCACTGGACAGATTTTGACGAAATTTGGATAATGACTGATTATCCGGGTCCGCATATAGGATACTTTTTACTGTGGGACAATATCTCATCTCTGAGAGATCTATACTAAACGTTAAAACGTGATTAGGAATAAACCCGAGAGGAGCGAGGGTGAGTCGCCAGTTTTATTATATACTAGCATTGCCCGCGGCTCCGCCCGCGTTCAAATGACCAAAAACCAAATTCTTAGGTTTTACATGTTAGTATACTCTTAGATTGCAGTTTTTGTATTTTTTCTCAGAAATGAGACTTTTTCCCGCGGTAAAAAGTATCCTATATGTTGACCCGGATAACCAGCTATCACCATACCGAATTTCATCAAAATCCCCCCAGTGGTTTTTCTGTGATGCGGTAACAGACAGACAGACAGACAGACAAAAATTCTAAAAACTATAGATTCGGCCTCTATGTCGATAACAATGTTTAATTCAATAAGATTTTCCAAAAAATATTTAATGTACAGATTCGGCTTAGTTACAATTTTATTATATGTATAGATTTATATATTTAAATTAATACGATACAATTTTTATACCACGGGAACTAAACGTAAGGAAATCGTGGGAAAGACAGCATGTATTTAAAAGGAAAAGTAACTAATCGGCAAACGCTCAATGCGGTTTCAGATCTAAAAGCTGTAGAACTCTCATAACTGGCGTAACTACTTCACGTATTGCATTACTCTTATAACTAATCCGTTCATACATACATCGAACTAATATTAGAAACGTGAAATATTGTGAGGATGTATGGATAGATAGATGGATGAATATTGGATGTATGGATGGATGGATGTATAGATGTTCGTTACTCTTTCACATAAAAACTACTGAACGGCTTTCCATTAAACTTTTTAAATCAAAGGTTATCATTTTTAAAGATGTAATACGTAATTGAACTACACGTGCGGAGCCGCGGGAAAACACTAGTATATTATAAATGTGAAAGTAAATCTATTTTTACCTTTTCACCCTTAAACCGCTAAACAGATTTTGATAAAATTTGACAAGTTCATAGATTGAATCCTGGGATCGGACATATTATGTAGGCCTTGATCCCCACATATAGGTTACACGAGGGAAGCCGCGGATAAAAAAATTGTTCATTAGATTTTCACGATTTTTTTTTAATAAGAGGGTTATAATATAAAATAGAGAAAATTCGACCCTTAATGTTGAAAAAAAGTTACTTTGAATTCGGTATATTATTTTATAACTTAAAAAGTATTTTTAAGATGTAGTATTTCTTAAATACCGTGATTAGTTTTAATCAAACAGAAGTATCTATTATGTGTACTAATGATACTTCTGACCACATATTATAATTTTTATTAATAAAACTAAAACAAATCTATCCCATGGGCACTGTACATTTATCCGGGGAAAAAAGTAGCCTATGCTCCTATTTCAGACTATAATCTATCTCTATGCCAAATTTCATCTAGATCCGTTCAGCTGTTTTGGCGTGATTGAGTAACAAACATCCAAATATCGATCTAAACATTTATAATATTAGTAGTATAGATAAAGTACCTGAGTGACCGAGCTTTGCTCGGTGTAGGCCCTCGTTTAGTAGGTTGGCAATTGGCATCCATTGCAATGCGACAATGCAAGTACCACAAAAATTTTCGAGATGGCGCTGTCAGCATTAAAGATAAAAACATCTAATAATTGATTAATTAGTTATAAAAAATGTTTCATTTTTGTGAAAAATCGCGTTTTTTCATAAAAGGTCGCATCTATAGAGGTTACATCTTAAAAGGTAAACTTAAAAAGCAAAACCTTATCTAAATCCAAAATTTGATCCAAATCGTTAGAGCCATTTCCTAGACACACGAAATTTTATATTAAATTTCTCATTTTTTATATATATTTATTCTCATTTTATATTAAATTTCTCATTTAATATTTTAAGATGTAAATACGACGTGTTTGGCTCAGTTTGTAGTGACCCTACCCACAGTAGTACCCGGCAATCCAGCCGGGCGCGAAGCCAAGAAACGCACAGGGAGGTGGCCCACTTCGGTGGGCGGTGGGACGTGGCCCTCTTTGGTGGGCGGTATACCATGCGGGTTGCTCCTGGTACTTCTCTGATAGCAGAGTAGACCTTGGAGCAACCCCATGGTTGTTGTGGTCTGCTTCGGCAGACCAGCCGTCGGGGCGTCGTAGTTGAATGCGTAAGCGATTCTGCGATGCCCCATTAAGACGGGGGAAGGCTTTGTTGGGTTTTAGTGGGTAGTACTGACTTTGACGGTGAGTCCCACACCTCGTGCGTAAATGCATTTTCCAACGTTAAAAAAAAGGTATAGGTATCTAATTAATTCTAGTACTAGTGAATTCATATTCAAATTTTAGGACTTATTTTAACTTGCTTTTTGGTTTGCAACATCTCTCGCGTGTTTTTACAAATAATGTAGCAGTACATTTTGTATATGAGTATTTACTATTTTGAGATCTTAGCATGCATCTGGTTTTATTATAAGAATACAAAAGTAATAAATGGGATTTCTAAGAGAAAATGTACGTAAAAGAATTTTATAATTATTTATCTAGTCTTTCCTGCGAATCAGCTCGTTTAATATATTTTTGTGTAATTCTAGTTCAAATCTAAAAGTTGTAGGTAATGTGGTGTTAGATAGCCTATAACATAATATAAAAAACATAAGCATAAGAAGTTTTTTTATCCTACTGGTAGTTGTCGAGATGCAACTACTAGCTCGAAAAACGCGCGGTAACGCGTTCTACCAAAAAAAAGAAAACAAAAAAAATCAACTTATTTTTTTTTAATAAATGTGTTTTATATTTATTTTAAATGTTTACTACATTAATATAAAGTAATAAATACTCGTAAACAAATCTAGTATTACATAAAAACAGCAAGACAGAGTAAATAATTCGAATTAATCAATAAAACTTAAGCTAGTCTTTAAACAAACTCGTTTAAAGGTCTGTTTGACCTAACAAGCTTATAAAAAAATACACTATTATTATGAATACTAGACCTCAAATCACATACCTACCTAAGAACCACTCTGAATAAAATTGAATAAGGCAAAAACTAAACGCCACATTCGTGCCGAAATAAATTAAAAATGATAATCAGCAAAAGCTTAATTCCGCCGCCTCAAAACCGACGGGTTCGTGGAAACTATAAAAAAAACGTACAAAATGTCCGCCGACAACGGTACCGCGAGATTTGCAAAAAATAACCATTAAGACTGAAATATAGGTTACAAACCTTTACACGCTTTCTGTAAAAACTACATAATTACTGCTTTAAGAAAGAACAAGAATATTATCGCTGAATATTTATTTTGCATTATTAATATTAAAATTGGTCATTAATTTTTTCATGAACGATTTATATTGTTGTAAATTGCAATTAATTTAGTCATTTAAATGAATTTTCATTAATATATATATATATATATTATAATAAAATTGTAACTAAGCCGAATCTGTAGTACTTACATTAAATATTTTTTGGAAAATCTTATTGAAATAGACAGAGACTGAATCTATAGTTTGTAGAATTTTAGTCAGTCTGTCTGTGACCGCATCATGGAAAATCACTAGGGAGATTTTGATGAAATTTGGTACGATGACAGCTGATTTTCTTGATTAACATATAGGATTCTTTTTACTGTGGAAAAATATCTCATCTGTGAGAAATCTATGATAAACGATAAAACGTAAGTAGGGCTGAACCCGAGCGTAGCGAGGTTGAGTCGCTAGTTTATAATATTACTAGTATTGGAATTTTTTTGTCTTTAACTATCAATTGGAAACGTGTACAATATATAGTAGATATAAAATAGACCTAAATATTATATTATGAACTATCTTGTCGTAAAATCAAAGAAAATTACCTCCTTTAAAATAAATATTCTATAAAAATAATAAATAAATAAAAATTCGCCGTTTAAATTACAAAAAGCTTTCATAATTTTAAATCTATAGATAATAATAACAATATCAAACAGTTCGTTACTTGCATGTCTAAAGTTTTAAATGTATCAACTACTATTCAAAAAAACACCGCACCCGTCGACCCTAACCCTTTCCCTTCACATAGACTCAAACCCATACATTAGCGAAATTTGGGCTTTATATTCTTTTTTATGTAAGGGCAAGGAAAGTGTGGGGCCACGTGGAGGGGTCGGGGGTTTGGGCGGGGCGATGCAGCTGCACCGTAGGGCTTCGCCCCGGCCTGATGCGCTCAGTCGCGACGCGTACTCCACACTGTACACGTCGCTGCGACTATTCGAACGCGGCGAGCGCGCGAATTTTGACATTGACATTTTAATTTATTATTTATCTTCAATTATTTTTTTTATTTTTATAGCCTGTGTTTTATAATGTTTTAAGTGAAGTTAATTGGCGGGTTAATGTGTGCGAGTGAGAAGGGGAATATGGAGAGTCCGGGCGAGGAAACGGGACGGAACGCTCCGGCCGCTCAACCTAATGGGTCCAATAAGATAATAGGACGCAACGTGAATGGAACCAGTAAGTCACGATTAAACAAGTTTTTGTTATCAAAATATTGTAAATAATGGATAATTAACAAGCTGTCGAGATCTTACCTTTTTAATAATTTTCAATGTAACTTGTTAGTGAGATGTAAAAGAAAATGCCGCACTACGTTTTAATGAATTTCATACACGTTTTAAATGTTATAATGATACGTTTATGAGATCTTAAACGTCCGGCAATTTTTATAGTGTAATGAACTACAATAGCTAAGCCTATAATTTATTAACGTAAATGGGTGAAATTATAAATTCTGCATAATTTAAAATAAAAGTCCTCTAAGATTGAACCCTTAAACCATAATATTCTTAATTTTATAATAGGTATACTATAAAACTTTAAAAGTATTTAAACTTAGTTTTGACTTGCTTTAGTTAACAAGACTCTACATTTACTTATTTTAGTATGTACCTTTAGAAACAGTGTCAATTTAAAAATTCTCTAGCGCGCCAAAATATATTTCTTCAATTTAATTTATATAATGAATATACATACATATAATAAAGAAGTTATCGACTATGACTTTTTCATAGTTTATAAAAAACCGCTATATTTCCATTAAGGAGCGTGTGGTTTGTTATTTTTTTTTATTTACAATGCGTATGTAATAAAAATTGCCAGCATAGTCATTGCCCTAATACGGCGCTACTGTGGATATTTTTAAGGTGTGAATAAATTAAGATATTATAGAAGTATTTCGCACCTTCATAATTGATTAATACATTTTGTTGACTTGCAACATTTATATTAAAAAGTTTATTATGAAATATTTAGTTTAAATTATTTTACTGATGTATTGCAACTTTTTTTTATGATGTTACGACGTCGTGGGTCATTATTTTCGTAACTGCATTTTCCTGTCAGAACTGAGATAAATAAATTGATTTGGCAAAATATTAATCTTTAATTGGATTGGTTAGGAATAAAAAAATATTTTTATTTATTTCCCCTTAATCAAAATTATATTTTTATACAATTGCTTTAGAAATCCTTGGCACATAGATTCAAAGTGCTAAGCACTTTTTAAAGGACAACACCTCGTGTTATCGTCTCTACTGGTGATAGAGCTGGCTCATTCTTCGCCCAAAGAATCGGCATTATGCTATTTAGCTAGGGAATGCGGCTAGCATTCTTGCCACAATTCCACGCGGACATGACTTGTACAGTAATATTTAATTAAGTGTACATTTTTTGGTACCTATATATATTTTATTGTAAATAAACCTTATTGTATGTACTCTTAATGTACATATAGATTTCTTTAAAGTGAAAAGTTTTATTTATTTAACCAGAAATAAAACATCGCATATTTAAAACATAAGACAAAATTGATAAAATTCTTTTTTTTTAGGTAACATACATTTACCATTATATGTAACAAAAAACAGCTACTGATATGAATATTCATTCATATATATGACTAGCGTTGCCCGCGGCTCCACTCGCGGTCAGATGACCAAAAACCAAATTCGTTTTAAATAGGTTTAAATAGGTTTTACGTATTAGTATAAGTACTCTTACATTGCTATTTTCTTATTTTTTCTCAGAAATGAGATATTTTCCCACGGTAAAAAGTATCCTATTTGTTGACCTGGATAACCAGCTATTACCATACCAAATTTCTTTAAAAACTCCTTCAATGGTTATTCTGTGATGTGGTAACAAATAGATAGACAGTCAGATAAAAATTCTAAAAACTATAGATTCGGCTTCTGTATCGATAATAATGTTTGTTTCAATAACATTTTCCAAAAAATATTTAATGTACAGATTCGGTTTAATTACAATTTTATTATGTATATAGATTATTCTAATTGTTATTTCTTCTAACATTAATATTTTTGCGCAAATATTAACATATTTTACCATTTTGCATAATACTTGCCAAAATGGGATGTAAAGATGATCGAGTCTCATTTTACGACATGGTATATGTGAAGAAAATAGCTTTGGTATTTAGCACCTTTAGAAATTAATAGTGTGCTGTGGAATGAACAATTAAAGAATTCCTCAAAGAACTGTAATTAATTTTTTTAATGCACTTATTCAAAGGTCTCGGTCGTAAAATATGCGGTTAATTAGACAAACTTATTACCTACTTATCGAAAAGATAGGTGATATTAAATCTTCAATACTCTAAAAATACTTATAATATAGGTACTTTAGAATTCGCATCTAGCATTAAGCATTGAAAGCTTTTACTTAAAAATTTAAAGCTACAAAATTAGGCTTATTATGTCATATAAAAAATCAGACTTCAACCATATAATAAAAGAAATACAATTACAGTTGTGTTAACGATGATACTAAAAAATATTTTGTAATTTATTTTATAATCTGGATCTTTAAAAAAATAATGTACCTACAATCTCAATTTAGTTATCAATTAGATAACAAATAAGTAAAATCTTATTCGGAAATGACATCGATTATTAAATATTAGAATATCCTTATTATAGCTTTCCAAGCTTTTTAATTCAAAGCTCATCAGAGCTTTCGAATTGTAAGTAGGTTTTGAAACTTTTTTCTGATAGTTTCTATATATCTGTTTTAGCCATTTTGTATCAGACTTCAGAAATGCAATAAAGGAAAAAGCATGGTGAATTAGCGATCTTACTTACTTTGTCTTACTTTGAAAATCACTCCTGGAATCCACTAAACAAAAGAATTGTATTGAATTACTTTGAAAATGTTTTAAAACCTGGATCTCTTAGAGGAAAAAATTGTACAATCTTAATTTACTACTGAATTATATGTGTACAAATATATACTATGATAATATATTATATGAAAAAATGCAGTGGTAGCACAGTGATAGCGTGGTCGCTAGGGGAGCCGAATGAAGCTGGTTCAAATCAGGGATCTAGCACCTCTGATATTTTCATGTGCGAATAATTTCCAACATGATTACCACTTGTCTTAACGTTGAAGGAAAACATCGTGAGCAAACCTGCATGTCTGAGAGAACCTAGCAAGTTTTCAAAAGACATGTGAAGTCCGCCAACCCGCGTTTGGCCAGCGTGGTGGACTACGGCCTGATCCCCCTCGTATTAAAGGGAGGCCAGTGCCCAGCAGTGGGACGTTAAAAAGGGCTCAATACAAAAAGTATCCTATACGTTGACCCGGATAACCAGCTATCACCATACCAAATTTCATCAAAATCCCTCCAGTGGCTTTTCTGTGATGCAGCAACAGACAGACAGACAGACAAAAATTAAAAAAAATTATAGATTCGCCCTCTGTATCGATAATAATGTTTATTTCAATAAGATTTTCCAAAAAATATCTAATGTACAGATTCGGCTTAGTTACAATTTTATTATATGTATAGATAATCTGAATGTCTAACAGAAAAAAAATATTTACAGTGTATCAATTCACTACCTAATTATAAAAGTTGAGATGACAAATAAGCAAAATCTCATTCGCTAGTGGGCAAAACCACATCGATTGCAACAAATGAAAACGCATGTTTTTGTAGCTGCATTTCCTACAACAATCAGCGGCTTTTTTGTAAGCAATTCCGAATGATAAACATTACGCAAAAACTAAGTGACCACAGACTTGAAATAAGGAAGTGGAATCGAGCATTTTATTGTTATTATTACAGATATGAATTACATTTTTTTTTCAAATATTTTATTTCCAATAAAATAAAAAAATAATGATTTACTTTTGTTGTAATCAATTAAGTTTTTAAAATTAATATTAATGGAATACACACGTTTTAGTATATTTTAAGCGCGCTTTAAGAAACCCGCGGGATACGCATTGGAGTATTTTGTATTGAACTAACAAATCTTGATTTTCGTGTAGGTGTTATATTGCAACATGAATAATTCGGTAATATAAAAACGTCTAAAAATATTTGAGGTGACAATATATTCTCACCGTTACGAGAGAAGGCAAATATAATGAAATTATTCAAATAAGTCTAAATTCATAGTTGTTTTAAATTTGAAATTCTTATTTATACATCAAGGGCCTCGTTTTTTAAATTAAATTGAAAAAATCAATGACATATAGTATGTAACTTATACATATCACACATGTCACTTCTATACGACTGTTCTGAGACACTTCAAAGAGAATTCACATCACATGAGCTGGGATTCGAAGCCGTTGAGGTAATTTGTGTTTTTCTTCACCATCGGGGCCGCTTTGTCTTAACGTAGCGTTTTTGTATGCCATTCTGCTTCTTAATGCAACTTGGATGGGACAGTCTTGATCTATTGTGAACGTATAATAGCTATAGAAAGTAATACAAACGTGATAAATAAAAAAGATATTTATTGTTTAATAATTGTTGTACAGGTATTTGTCTTTTTAATGTATTCTTTTAGATTTTAATGTATTTTTTTAGACTTTAATATAACACTACTGTAATATATTGTAGTACAATGTTTGTGATTATTTTTTTATTGTAATTTTAATATAAACAAGCTACATATATACTCGTATGTACAACAAATGTTAAAATGACATTTCATTCATTTATAAAAAAAAAACAAATAAATTTGTAATAATAAGGGACATGAAATAAGATGTAATCCACAAAAATTCCAACCAGCTTTCCAATTCCAATTTTTCGCTGTTTGTAAAAGTGTAATTTAATATTGTTTAAATAAATACATAAAATAAATAAATAAGCTAGTAAGAAGAAACAGATCACTTTTAAAGAGATGTAATAAATAAAAGATACTTTACTGAAAATGGCAAAGTTATTTATTTTAACCGCAAGTTTCAAGACCAGTTAATCCATGTGTAGATGATAACAAAAACTAGAGTCTGTATGGAGGTCGGAAAAACCGTGGAAACGTTGGAAAAACGACACTCACATGGTTGAGCAAAAACTTGCAGTTGTATAGCGCTACTTTTATACTACTTTTACACGCGATTTTACTTGATAAAATAATGTAAATAGCAAATAATATCTTTGTATGTATATCTACATATCATAAACCTAATGACCCCTA